AAGAGCACGCGATCATTAGTGGGTCTCTTCCGACCGAAGTCCGTTATTGGCGTTCCTGCCGCCGATGCCATGGCTCCGGAAGCTAGCCAGGCCGCTGTCTCAATGATCACTGTCGAGGCCGAAAGAGTCAACGTCAACCCTGACCCCCGCGCACAAAATGGCGGTGGTACAGGGTTCCCTCACCTGGAGCGAAACTCGCTGGACGTCTCCAACACTCCTAGCATGGTTTCCGAGCGTGCTGGAAGTTCTGGCACCGACAGCGCCGGTCGAAAGAGCATCGTGGGTGGCGACAGGGAGCGTGCCGAGGTTCTAGCTGCTGTCAGGAAAGGCATCCTCAAGCACAACGGCCGATCAAACAGCCCAGCACGCGATGGCGCCAAGCCCTTCGAACTCCCCGCCATCCCCAATGTCTCCGACTCGCCCATTTCCACCGCGCCTAGCACGCCGAATGATGAGGCACAAGGCCACAAGCGTTCGGGGTCGGTCGCCATTGGCAGCGAGGATTATTTCATGACCGCTCTCAGACTCCGCCAAGACAGCAAGAGTGCTCCTGGAACGCCTTCCGGAGGTACCAAGAGGAACGCGACATTTTCACCGAGAATCGTCTTTCACGACACATGGCCAAGTGGAGAATATGATCGCAGGGGCGAGATTGCTACATGCAACCGCCTGACGCCCATGTTGGCTCAGCAGATCAAGGAGGAGCTCAATACATTCAAGATGGTACGTTGGTATTGCAGGAAATTTTAAGACTCGCAAACGCTAACAGCACACAGGAAATGGAAGTTCACGAAAACTCCAAGATTTACACGCACTTCTTCTAACGACGGCTACGCCTGCAAGACGGAATCTTCCAACTTTTGCTTCTTGATGATGGGCACACCCACCCCATCATGTATTTGAACTACATTTACCATTCGACGGCGTTCAGGAACAGCATCGTACGGTGTCAAGGCGTTCTCAGTCGTCACTCGACAGCATTTTCCATTGCCTGGCTGGAATGGCTGAAGGGCCGCCCGACATCGATTAATTTTCTGCGGATGGGCTGAGCGACACTCGGAGTTGGCGGCCAGCCAGAACAGCATACACAGGCCAGTCAGTGCATACACGGGCCGAAAAGCCTGTTTGCATTTGGGCAGCGATCACACGGACCATGGGACACGATGGCGATAATGGTGGTAGCCTCCATTGTTCTTACACTTTTTATCAGATGGGCCCAAGCCCTCTGGAGGACGAGATGCGGACTCTACGGAGATCCCATCGCACTCGACAATCGGTCGAGTTTTTCTGTGTTTGTATTTGCTTTGTCGGCGGTCATAGGGTTTTCTTTATCTGTCGGCTCCATTCGCGTTCGTAGCCTTCCAGTTTCGTGGAGTCAAGAGGAGGCAGATAGAAAGTGTGTGTGTGTGTGTGGCTTTTTCATCTCGAAAAATCAGCTTTAGTCTCAGCGAGGTCTTGATGCTGGTATCGACCATTCCAGCGAATTGAATACTTTAGAGCGTACTGCCTCCCTGCAAAACTTTATCCCGGGTTACATGTGACGACGGGTTGAAATGCTACCCACCAAGCGAAGTCCTTTGTTCTCCTGACGCGCCCTGACTGGTCTGACACACCGTCTCAGTGCTAGATTCAGACGAGCGGCGCGATGAGACCCAGGCACCTCGTTGTACCCGGTACATGCTACCCCTTGCGGACCAGCGGGACGACGTCATTCGTCGTGCGTCGAGGTCCCCTTGGGTGCGTGGGGGAATTGGCAGAGACCCGCAGCCCCACCAATCAGATAAGCTCAGAGTTCTCAGCCTCGTGCCCACCTGCGCAAGGCTCAAAACTTTTTTTTTGTGTCCCGCCTATCGCCTTCGCCATCACCCATCAAAGTCGCCCACGGACGATGCAGCACTTGGTCGCATGCCCGCTGGACTGATAATACCGACACTCTGGAGATTTTACTGAGGCTACGGAGGCTCCGGACGCCTCCCATCATTCGGCTCACCCGCTCCTTCTCGACGAAAATGGCGACACACGCGACCGACACAACCGCCGCGGGGCCCGAGGCCGCTGCGGAGGTCAAGCCGAAGCTTCACGGTCGGGCCTTTTACGAGAGCATAGGGAGCCCCAAGTATATCCTGGCTCCCATGGTGGACCAATCTGAATTCGTGAGTTTTCCCTTGGCCTCCCATGAACTCGGTTGCCTCGGGCGCATGACTGATAGCTTGGCGTTTATGTAGGCATGGCGAATGCTAAGTCGATCGTTCCTTACCCCCGAAGAGCAGACCAACCTGGTCGCATACACGCCCATGTTCCACGCCAGGATCTTCAACGACACGGAGCACTACCGCGACGGCCACTTCCAGGCCGTGCGCCCCGCGACCAACGGCGGCACCGAGGCGAAGCCGACGCCGGAGCCGTGGCTCGATGGCAACCCGAAGATCGACCGGCCGCTGTTCGTGCAATTCTGCGCCAACGACCCGGACGCGCTGCTGGGCGCCGCTCTCAAGGCCGCGCCGTACTGCGACGCGGTGGACCTGAACCTGGGGTGTCCGCAGGGCATCGCGCGCAAGGGCAAATACGGCGCGTTCCTGCAGGAGGACCAGGAGCTCATTTTCAAGCTGATCAACACGCTGCACAAGAACCTGCCGATCCCCGTGACGGCCAAGATCAGAATCCTGGACACCAAGGAGGCGACGCTCGCGTACGCCAAGAACGTGCTCGCGGCGGGGGCGTCGATCGTCACGGTGCACGGCCGCCGGAGGGAGCAGAAGGGCCACCTCACGGGGCTGGCGGATTGGGGCATCATCAGGTGGCTGCGCGAGCAGCTGCCGGCTGAAACGGTGCTCTTCGCGAACGGGAACATCCTGCAGCATGCGGACCTGGCGCGCGCGCTGGAGGCGACGGGCGCGGACGGGATCATGAGCGCGGAGGGGAACCTGAGCGACCCGGCCATCTTCGGCAAGGAGCCCGAGCCCGGGAGCGAGGTCGAGAAGAGGGAGTACTGGCGCGGGAGGGACGGCAAGGGCGGGTGGAGGGTGGACGCCGTCATGAGGCGGTACATGGACATTCTGCACAGGTACGCGGCCGGCGTGGAGCCGCCTGCGCGGCGTCCGCTGTTCGTGCCTGGCGACGACACGGCGTGGATGAAGGAGATGGACCAGGCTGCTGCTGAGGAGGACGAGCCTGCGCGGAAGAAGAGGAAGAAGGACACGCCCGGGAAGAAGGCGAGCGGCAAGAAGGAGCGCACGAATAACCCAAACTACGCGGCGATGCAGCCGCACATGTTCCACATGTTGAGGCACTTTGTGTCGAAACATACCGACGTCAGGGACATGCTCGCGCGCGCCCGGGCGGGCGACATGGAGGCGTACGAGGAGATTCTGAGCAAGGTGGAGAGGAAGGTGGCGGACGGGCTGGTCGAGTATGAGAAGAGCGATGGGAAGATGTTTGAGACAGAGGGTGAAGGGGGGGAGGAGGAGATTGTCGAGGACGGAGAGAGCTCCAAGGGGGCTGTGCAGAGGTGTGCGAGGCCGTGGTGGGTTGTGCAGCCCATCATCAGGCCGTTGCCGAAGGAGGCCATGGCCAAGGGGGCTGTCTCGCTGAGCAAGAAGGACAAGGCCAAGTTGGCGAAGGAGAATGGCAACGGGGAGGTGAATGGCGAGAAGAGCGTTGAGGAGAAGGTCTTGGAGACGGATGACAAGTTGATTGCGGGTTGACGATGGAGACGAAAAGTAATGGAAATGATATACCCCCTTCTCACTTTAACTTTATGAACGATGTTGCTTGGTGTGAGATATGAGTGACGATGTAGGGCGACCAGTTGGGTGACGGGAGCTGGGAGGGCAAATGAGACACCTCATCGCGACGAGTATGAACAGCTTACATGTGTTGAAGTCAATCATTGACTATCTCTTTCTCCTTGCTACTTGCTTTGTGGGTAGTGGCCAGAGTAGGCAGCAGCTCTTCGAATTCTGACCACACGCATGTCTTTCGAAGAAGGCCGCTTAGTGCAGCATTCTGATGAATGATACCATTGGTAAAAATCCAAGATTCTCTCAGTTCAACCCTCGAAGGTCGAACGGGGCTTTTTTTTCTCTTTTCTTTTACCTCTCCCTTCTCACATATCCAAATCCATTCCGTTGCAAGGGAAATTCTGTAGAAGAAAAATCTTATGCCTGCGGGATGAACGAAGTCCAAACGCCCATTTGACACAGGAGAATTCCAGGTCTCATGATGTTTCTTTGGTCTTCTGCACGAGACTAGAAGTACATAAGTCAGACTAAGCCAATCTTTAACCACAAAAACAAAGGCCTTATGTTGATTTGTTCTCCTGCTGTGAGAGCTTTAAAACCAGCGCCTATCTCGGATACATGGAGGCTGTATCATCTTACATGATATGGATGCTTGAATCTAGAGCTCGGAAGATGGGGCCAAGCCAGTTGTGTTAGTCTAAACCCAGTTGAGGGCTCGCATATTCTCATAACGTGCTCTTGTTTCTATTCCTTAAAACAGGTTAACTACTAGCCTCCTCAAATTAAGCAGAAACGGTATCTGACGGGGAAGTACGGCAGAAAGGTGAATTGTGTCAAAACACTCCCATCTAAGTGCTCTAGAAAAAAAGGGGCAAATGAATTACGGATCAGCCGAGTTTCTTGTTCGTCTCCTGTGTAGTCGGAGAATTTGGCTCTGGTTGGGACCAACACGAAAACATCCAAGGCTGGCAGGGGTTGAGGAGCTGCGCGGCGGCTAAGACATGTTGGAAGAGCTTCCAACCGCAGTATCTGATGGATCTGCCAAGAGATTCTCCAGCTGGGCCTCATCTAATTTTAAATGCAAAAGGTGTTGATTTAGTGTCGCATCCTAGACTGAACAGGAAGGCGTTAAGATGCGTGTCATGAGGGGGAGGCACAGCTGACACTGCGAACGCCCCAATTAACGACCTCCGAGAGCAAACCCGAACGATCACTGCACCACATACTCAATGTGCTTTTATATTCATTGATGTGAGCGGGATGAATGGCTACAGGGAACCGGCGGAGAAGATCGTGGCTCACGAGTTGGATCACGGGCCGGAGGTCGTACCAGGACAGTACTGGCCCACGCCTGCCCACCACGGCATCGATGCCAGGCAGTATAGCCAACAAGTTCCACCGGGTTCTGGTTCTGATGTTCGGAGGATATTTGGATTGCATCGCTCGACATTCTACCTCGCGCTGGTTCTTGCAGTGGTCATCATCGTGGGATCGGTCGGCGGAGGTGTCGGTGGTTCGCTCGCGGTCAAGAACGCCCAGAGGTGAGAGGGACAGACGCCCTCGTCGCGCTCATAAATGAGAAAGCTAGTGTTAAGCATCCAGGGGCGCCCAGTCTGCACAACAGTCCCAAGCTACTCCTACTCCGACCCTAAGAGAGACCAAGATAGCGACAAGCTCAGCAACGGGCTCAGCGTCAGGCTCAGCAAAAGCGTCAGCGACAGGCTCACCCACAACCACCACCCGAATATCGATGCCCACGTCCGGACTGCTGGCGCTCGACTGTCCCAGTATTTCAGGGACCACCGCTTCCATCACGGCAGGCGGTCAGTTGTCAAGTTACGACCTCGACTGCGGGGTGGACAACAACGGCGACGGCATCGACATCATCGCTGTCGTTTCGTGGTCGCTGGAAGATTGTCTCAGGGCGTGCTCCTCGTTCAACGCGAACCGGAAGAGCGGGTCTGAGAGTTGTGCTGGGGTGCAGTTCCATGCTGACATTGTCGACTTGGTTTCGAGGTTCTCTGGGAACTGCTTTTTGAAGAATACGGAGGGCCGCGCAGTGACGGATACCAACTCGACGAACTTCAATCTTCATGTGTCGGCCATGCTCTATTCGTGAAAGTGTATGAGGGGCTCGTCGAGATGGGTGATGTAGCCCAAACGTCCCAAGACCTTGGCAGTAGATGTTGCCATTCAAAGGTGAACATTTGACGAATTTGGGTATCAAGGTCTCCAGCATTGGCCAGATTTAAAGACCTTGAACGATTCACTGTGTTGTCAACTTCAATCCACAGTTTCTCAGCTGCTGCTGACCCGTCTTGCCGTGCAATCCTTGAGAGATTTATCAGGACAGATTGGACAGATTGGACAGAGGGATCCCTCAGAGAAGTCTCTGCAAGCAGACGTATTCAACCTAAAGCAACATTCGTGTAGTGCCTTTGCAGGGAGTGTGCCTTAATTTCGAAATTATGTTATTATATTTCTCAATCGAGTCAACATTCGTTTCTCATCTCTTTCTGATTCTCTTCTGTTTGAAGTCTCTCTACTCCTGCTTATATCGGTTTCTACTGACTCCTTTAAGTTGACCACACTCACTTCAGAAATGTGTAGTAATAGCTGTGTGTAGAAACAATTTTGCAATTAGATAGCTTCTATAAGGAGAACCCAACACCACATATAGGAGTGGAGTGCACAGGAGTCTCGTTGTGGGTTGTTTATCGAAAGGTTCTACGTCGACCGAGTCCCAACTGCGTGCTTTACCTGTCTCCATTCTGGATAATGGAGGAAGTCGTTGTGCCACAGCTGTTGGTCATGTCAAACATTGGTTCAACGGCGCAAGGTGCACCGACATCGAACCTGAAGCAGACTTCGATGTTTTAGTTCTGACTCCATTTTAACTTGCGGAACGTTTTTCGAAGTACACACGTAGAAACCAGTGGGATGTTCACCATAACCTGAGCCACCACCAAGCATCCATACCTAGGGACGAACCCGCCTCTTTCCCCAAATTCGGAACTGGTGCGGTTTTGCCCAACTATTCTGTGACCGGTTGCCCGCGATATCACGTTAGACGGTCAACAGAAAGATTTGCTCGCATGCAATTGCGACGCTGGCTGGTCTTTCAAAAGGAGACGAAATGAAGTGGACGGCATGCCTGCGGGGATCGGCGCCGAAGTCTCCACCATCCAAACGGCTATCCCAACACTTGAAGTGATGCAGTCTGCCTCTCATATCCCGAAAAGCTGGCTGGCTGCGACTTCCCGAAAATGGACCTCGATTCCCACTGTCTTAAGCGTGTCTCTGCCGTGTCTGCAACAATTGGTCCTTCCTCACTAGAGTGCCACGTCGTGGAGGTGCGGATAGGCAAGGTAGTGCTCTGGTCATGCTGGTGCAGCTCCATCCAGCTGCTAGCGTTCCACTAGCTTTCGCTTAGGCAAGGACCCTGGCCGAAGGAACGGCTTCCGCCTGACATCACCCCATACTTTAGGCCCAGCCGTTCTATCTAGATTTTGAGCCCAGCATCTTTCTTTCCTCTTTCCAAAACTCCTCCGCGCCACACACCGACAGAACTGCCACGATGAGCGACGAAGACGACTTTGTGGTCGAAGGACCAGAGCTCGCCGAGGATGACCCCATGCGCGCATTCCTTCCCGTCTCATTCGGCAAGAAGTCCAAGGAAGCCAATATTGCCGCCCAAATCGACCGCAGCCGAAGAACAACAGAGAAGGCCTCGGCGGGGGGCTCTAAAGAAGGATCCGCAGGTCCGCCCAAAACTGAACAGACCGAGAAGAAGCCCGACTCAGTTAGTGACAGTGACAGCGACTCAAACTCGGACTCGGACGATTCGGATGACGGCGACGATTACCCCGTTTCCCATGAGCTGGTACTGAAGACCCACGAAAGAGCGGTAACGACGGTGACGTTGGATCCCGCCGGCGGACGACTCGTCTCGGCTTCTCTCGACTGCAAAATCAACCTGCACGATTTCGCCTCCATGACGCCGAGCACACTGCGGGCATTTCGAACTGTCGACCCTTGGGAAACGAAGGCTTCTGCTGCGAGCGCCGAGTCGCATCCGATCCACCATGTCGAGTTCAATCACTTGTCGGGCAGCGCCTTCCTATGTGTCTCCGCACACCCACAAGCAAAGATCATGTCGAGGGACGGCGATATCTTGACCGAGTTTGTTAAGGGCGACATGTATCTTCGGGACATGAACAATACTAAAGGCCATATTTCGGAGGTTACAACCGGCACATGGCATCCTGCCGACAAGAACCTCTGCATCACTGCCGGCACAGACAGTACCCTCAGAATTTGGGACGTCAACAACAAGCGCAGCCAGAGAGATGTGATTGTCTTCAAATCGAAGGCGGCCGGGTCGGCCGGTCGGACGAGGATGACGGCGGTCGCATGGGGCTCACCAATGCAAGGAGGCAACAACGTGCTTGTCGCAGCAGCATTGGACGGGTCTTTGGTCATGTTCAGCGGCAATAGCCCCTTTTCACGGCCCACTGCCGAGATCCGCGATGCCCACAAGCCGGATACATGGACTGGTGGCATTGACATTTCTTCCGATGGCCGGATGGTGGTCACTCGAGGAGGAGACAACACCATCAAGCTGTGGGACACACGCAAGTTCAAGACGCCTCTCGTTACAGTGGACCACGCCTCTACATCGGACCATTTCCCGATGAGCAATATTCGGTATTCGCCAAACTCGACCAGCATCCTGACGGGTTCCGCGAACGGCGATTTGCACATTCTCAATCCCGGAAACCTACGCCCCGAGCATGTCACGCCCATCACGCCAGGAGCGCCTCTCATCACGGTCGACTGGCACCCGAAAATCAACCAGATTGTCACTGGATCGGCGAATGGAGAGACCCATGTCTTGTACAATCCGACAATGTCTACTCGCGGCGCCGTCGAGGTCATGTCACGAGCGCCGAAGAAGCGGCACATTGATGACGATCCGTCTCGCACGACCGACATGTCTGTTGGAATGTCGGGTGATTCGATCGTCACACCGGGCGGTGCGATGGCTGGCAGGAGAACGGGCGGAGTTACAGCATCCGGCAAGTCTCGCGACCCGAGAAGACCTGCGGTGCTGGAGCAGACGCCGTTCATGAGAAATCAGCCGGACGAGAAGCACATCGCTGAGAATATTCCGCTCGCGAAGATGCTGCACGAGGATCCTCGAGAGGCATTGCTCAAGTATGCTGAAGCCGCGAACAAAGACCCAATGTTCACGGCTGCTTGGCAGAAGACACAGCCTGTGACACAGTATGCGAACTTGAGCGATGAGGAGGAAGGGCCTGAGAAGAAGAAGGCTAAGCGGTGATGATAATCCCGTTAGCCATGTTCTCCAGTATCCTCGTAGGGCAATTGGGTTAGGAAATATTCTTGGCAAGTGGTCGGTCGAGAGCCGATTGGTGATGGCATGATGGGTTTGGAACCTTGGGTGAGTTTTCTAGCCGGGGAAAGCTGCTACTGGCGAGACATTTGCGAGCAGAACTCCACCCGTTCATCTCTCCGATTAGCTTTGCTGGAGAGTAGTCTTTGGAGAGGATGCAGGGCGACACGCAAGCGCTACTGTGACTTGCAGCAATGTGGGCATCCTGGGCGGGCGGCCAACTCATCGGGCCAGGCCCAGGGTTCTTCTGCGTGGGGTGGGAAGGGAGCGCGACTGGAGGAAGGAATGAAGCGACGCGCCCCTAGGTGCGACGGAACCATGTATCTTTATTTCATCCTGCTCTCAGGTGCCTGGAAACAAGACCAGAGCCTCAAGCCTCCCGCAATCACAGATGCCAAGCGGCGTGGATCTGGCATTCTCTGGCGGCTGGGACAGGCGTTACGTTAGGCGAAGGTGGCCGGCAAGGCACCTGGCAGGTAAGCTGGTAAGGAAGCACGGAAGGTAGGTACCTTGTAAGTCCGAAGCCAGCCAGTCAAATGAGCAAGCACCTGCCTGCTGCTGCTTCCTGCCTGCGTCGGACCAAGGAAAAAAATGGCCCGAGCGCCCTCGCTTGTATGTAATAAGCCTAGCGCGTGACGCCTCAGGCATCAACATCTTGCTGTGCTGAAAATTACGGGGACCGCGTTTCACAGACCGCACCAACCATCAATGAATCTTGTCGTTGTCCTCACCTCTCCATCTCAACCGGCACCGCGCGCATCGAAAAATCGCCATACCCCCTCTGCAGGCATCGACACCATCTCGAAAAATTGTCCAGCAACCTTTTCGACGCGATTTCCTCGCGCATTACGCTCGAGGCAACGCCCCGACGTCGCGCCTTTCTCCCCAAATCGCATTTTCGCCTCAACCGCGATTGCCCCCTTCCACCCGTTCCCCCCCACGCTTCCATTCGCGGCACCACAGCCCATTAGGTTGGCGGCCAAACTCCATCGTCCATCTCGGTGAACGACATCCACGCGACCGCCGTGTATCTAGTTTCCCCACGGCATCGCGTTTTTCAGCCCGACCCGACGCCGCCGCTCCCTGCCTCGCCGTGTTGTCGACGACGCGCCGGATTTTTCATCACAACCACTATTAGCATTCTAGTCTTTCATTTCGCGACGAGCCCAGCGCGCGACCAACCTTCCACACGGCTCCACTTGTCCACCTACACGAGTCTTCCTGCAAGATAATGCGCACGAGATAGTCCCTGCATCTCTTGAGATTCCAGCAGTCCATAGATTTGCAGCGCATACACTGCCAAAATGGCTTCTGTTCAAGCACCGCCTGCCGTCCAGCTCCCTGGCGCCGGCATGGCAGCCACCACACCTCAACAGGCCCAGGAGATATTTAACGTAAGATCTCTCTACCCATAGTCTGCGATGGGCATGCATCTCTGCGACGGTCAATCCTCTTGCTTTCAATGGATGATGCTAACACGACCCAGAAATTCAAGCAGATGAGAGAAAGTGGCGTCCCGAACACCGATCCCGAATACATCAAGGCCGAACAGTTCGTCTTGTCCTTCCAACAACAAGCCCGTATGCGACAGAAGCAACAACAATTTCTGCAGCAACAGCAGCAAATGCAGCGACAGATGCAACAAGCTGGCCCCAATGGTGCTGTCAATGGCGCGCAGCCTGGCCAACAGCAGCAGCCTCAAC